AGGGTTTTCAAAGATGTGACATCTTAGGGGAAAGAATTAAGAACATTCTGGATAATAAGAATAATCTGCAGCGTATGCTTCGCACGGATTCTGATCGCATAATGTATAAAAAGACTTTGATTGTACCATTTTCTTATGAATTGATAAGTGGCCTTAGAGATTGGGGCGGCCCTTTTGGTGTGCAGGTTGTTTCAACAATTGGTTATAAGATGGGGAATTTCTTGCAATCCTCTAAAGATCCCATTCATAAGAACAGAAAATTTAACGTTGTTTACAAGATTCCATGTAGAAACTGTGACAAGGCATACATAGGCCAGACGAAGCGATATTTTGGAGAAAGAGAAAAAGAACAGAAACCGAGTGAAGGAAATCCAGATTTATATCGGAGTGCCCTGTCACGATATGCGAAGGGTGATAATCATCGCCGACGATTCATCGGTTTGACTTTGATAAGTCGGGAATTTTGGGTACTGCGAACCCAGGTGCAGAATTAGACATTCTTGAAATGTTTTTCATCAAGAAATACAATGATTACACTGTAAACTTCATTAATGATTGTAAAAAGATCGGTAATACCTGCGATCAATTAATCAAGATTCACTAGGTAATTGTCATTAATGAACGCAGGAGAAATCTAGAAAAACTATGAAAATTTGATGCTTCTGTATTGATTAATGTCTGTTGTTTTTAGGAAGTGTTTCAATTTTTCAACTATCACACTATGGTACTAGTCGAGTTAGGGAAACTGTGAACATCACTAATGCTTACGCTCCCTGGTTTATCCGTTTCGTGGGGTTATTAGAATCATTTGTACGATTGGAAGGCTATGTTGATGAAACTAACCCATCATCTACATGGATCGCCATAGGTTACTTACGGTTATGTTTCTACAGTTTCGGTTATAGTGATCTCCCAATAACTCGCGGGAGAGTGACAGTAATGAAAAGTCCACTCCCTCAGGTGAAAAGTGCATTCGCGAGAAGATAAGGGAACTAACTACTTGTTATTCCCTATTTCCACGTTTTCTGTGGTTAAGAATAATGGTGTTTGATTAATATTTATCCATAGTACATTCTCGCTTGTAAAGATGAAAGCCCCATAATAATAAAACATTTTAATTAACCATATCACCGACGTCGGTGGCCGAAGCGGCTAGGTGCGAGCCTAGTGTGCGGAAGATTGTGAGTTCGATTCCCCGCGGAACCGAGTTTTTCAACCGGAGGCTCCGGCGAGCGGGAGGTCGCTAATATAGTGACCGCCTGTACCGGGATGGGATTTCTGTGGGTTCCCATGCTACTCCTATGTTCTATAGGAGTGCGAATGTGGTGCAGTGTAGAATCCACAGCCGCATGCATAGGGTTGGATAGGGCCGATTAGCCAATCAGAGGGCAGAAAGGGCCGGAATATAAAAAAAAAAAAAAATAGCCATATCACGCCTAAATACATAATTTAGTCAAAACCCCGTTTCCGTACATTTGAATTGAACGTCGTGCGCACTAGTCCACATGCATCGACGCATGAAACACTCAGCAAGCGCCAGTCGCCTTGCGCGCCTCTGATCAATGAACCGTTGATCAGAGGACACTGAAAACGTTTCTGAAGTGAACATCACCAAGGCCACATGAGGAATTATGGTAAGTTTTTACTGTTGTTCCGTGTGCACTCTCCCCTCTGGAGAGCGGGAGCCGTTGTGCCCCCTCCAACGATGATAGACTTTGGAGAACAGTTAACACACCATTCGTGTGCTTAATTAGTTCCCAATCAGTCTCAGAGGGTTTATGGAGTGTTTGAGGCTAAATTAAGGGGATAAGATGGGAAAAACGCATGAAAATACGTCCACGCACGCTCTCCATGGGTCATGGATGTTGCTGTAGTGCACATTGCGGGATAATTCTACATCGAGCGAATTGAAGTCTCAATAGAGTGCTCTTCTAGCTCAGTAAAGTTTCCCAATGCGTTGATTAATTTAAGGTTTCTCGTTGTTACGAGACTCCCGAAAACCGAAAATAAGTAGCTCGTGAGTTCCCTTAAATTCAGGTGACGCCACGACGCTCGTGATGGAGAATAACATCGAGGTTAAAGGCACGATGGTACCTTTTGAGTAACACTTTGCTTCTCCAGAGTTTCCCATCATTTCCACTTCGGTTTAACCGTTACAATTCTATGGGTTTTCGTCACGAAGGAGTTCGACCTATCTTTAGATCCTCCTGTACCGCAATTTCTCGATAATGCTGAGTGATCATAGGTAAAGACTTTCCCAGACCCCTTACATTTCCCCTTCGCGCAAATCTCTCTCAAAAATTACTCGACTACTCTCACTCTCGGTAAATAACTTTTGTTAAATGAAAATTAGAGATTTTGAGCTTGTATTTGACTCACGTGGGTAAATTAAATGCGAGATATTTTTCCATTTAATCAAAGGTTCTTTATTTTTGGATTTCCCGATTTTCTAGAGAATTAAGGGGATTTTAATTCGATTCTTTCTGACTGAGTTTCTTGTTGTCTCGTTATATTTGGGACCCCTTTACTAAGACCGAGCGACCGATTCCACCTCGCTCTCCGAATTTTCTCTCGAGCTAGCTAGACATAATTCCGCAACCTCTCCTTCTGATTTTCCCCATTCCAGTTATATTTTCATTTTTCTCGTTTCGTTTCTCTACGTTTACGATTGCAGTTTTCTTGATTCCGTGTTGCCAAAAATCGGCTGGCGCCCAATGACAGTTTCTCGCAAGAGTAGCTGGCATTTGTAAGGTTTTGGTTTTGGAGGAGTTTGGGAAAATTAGAGCGGAAGAGGCCGAACGTGGCAAAGTCCGGCTGTCTTCGATTAAGGATTTTCTGCGGATGAAGGATTCGGGTGCTGTTCGGTGAATTTTGGAAAACGCTGTCACAAACCAGTACTATGTTCAAAATTATATAGTCATTTTGTAAACCGAAAGGATGTATGTAATTAGAAAAATTTGTAAAATATATAAAAATAGAAAAGGGGAAAGACAGAGGCAAGAAACAATTGAGTGTCTAGACGGATGGAAAAACCAGCATTAGTAACGACAATGACTATTTATAAGGTCATAGGACTATAAGAGCCTTCTAAAAATCCTTGCGGAAAATATTTCCCTCTAAATATTGTAATCCTGTAATAAACTCCTCTCATTGAATTTTCGTTCCTTTCCAACTATTTCAAATCTCATCATAAAACCTTTTATAAATACATATAGTTAAATTGTTAGTAACTATTGAATGCCTAACTTATTCGCAAAAAATACATATTCGGGTTTAATACATCAAAATACGTAAAGTATCCAAGTTTCAAGACTTTACACCGATTTTATACCTTTGGCCTCAGCGTATTGACTATTTTCCCCCTATACATTTCCTCTGCTATTCCCGAAAGCAAACCTTCTCCCCCATTTTCGTACGCGTTTGGGCCCAGCGTCACCGATGATGTAGCTAGAGTAGGGATGGGCCTGAAAGTCAAGAGTTGTGCAAGGTATGATTTAGGGAGATATTGGAAAGCAGATAATAGGGGACAACTTCGTTGAGGCGCCGCGATACGGTGCTTCGATCGATTTTACTCTTCCCTTCATCTGGTGTTCCTCCCCTCCACCGACAATCGGCGTACTGGGAGTAATTGTATGAGTGGAAGGATTCAAATGAAAAATATAAAAAACAGCGTAATTATGTACATGTAATTGAAAAAATAAATGAAAATTGCAACATCGATTTGCCCTTGTGATATTTCTTTCTCCCTAACTTTTATTTCAGGAAATTTTCTGATTTCCAATTCAGGAATTTTGTAATATAAAATCCGTGTTTTAACATGAATTGTTTTGTTAACAATATTAATTTCTATGTCCTCAATCGATCTGAAATGGGAGAAATTAATGAGACATATAGAGTGATGCGTAAAGTGAAGAAAAAATGAATGATAATTTCGTTTTCAATCGCAAACAAACGGTTTGTTTTTGCGCGATGGGGGAGGGGGGCTGGGTGTTTTGATTCGCGGATGTCCTTTGTTTCTGCCTGTTGAAGCCTGCTTTGATGGACAAAAACTCCCTGTGCAAATTTTTCGAGAAAAAATTGAGAAAATGGTGAAATCGTGTGCACTCGTAAATTGTAAAAATTCCTCTTCTCCCTTGACGATCCCCTTGGACATTTTCCCTTACCCTTTTTCCCCCTGATATTTTGCCATTAATGGTTCCCCCTCAACGTTTACTTTAGTTTTTCTCTTAACATTTTTACTTTCATGTTTCTCGATTGACATTTCTCCCTTTACGTCCCCCCTCAACGTTTCCCCTCCCCCTTCCCTCTTGAAGTTTCCCCTTTAGCGATTACCCCTCAAAGGGTCCCCCGTGACATTCTTCCCTTGACATTTTTCCCTTGACCATTCTCCTCAACGTTTACCCCTTAACGATCCTTTCGGAAGGTTTGACTGATAACTTTCCTTCCTTGACGTTTCTCTGTCAATATTTTCCCGTTGACATTTCACCCTTAACAGTTGACCGTTAACAGTTGACCGTTAATATTTTACCATCAATATCTCGACCTTTATGTTAGATGCACAATCTTTCGCTCTTTCACTTTTACCTGTAATATTTTACTCTTGACAATTCATCATCATCTTTAACGTTTCAACATTCACTGTCATAATGATTTTTAATGGAAAAAAAGAGCATTGTTCAGACGGGGATTTGAACACCGGCCGCTGAGAAATCGTCGAGTGGTGGGGAGACAAGGCGCATGAGGGAAGAGAGGGTGCGAGCGCCGCACACGGCGGTCAGCGGTACTTGTCCCCTGTTTTCATCACTGAAATATAACTATACTGGAAAGTGCACTGTCGGGCTCAACGCGTGAGAGGACTCGTTTTGTGAGATAGCCTATAAAGGTGAGGATCTCTGTCCTCTTCTACCTCTCTGCGCATGCGCTGTAAGAGCTAAACCACGTGATCAACCATCTGACTCAAAAGTTTAGCCCCCTTTCTCCCTGGAGTATTTGGCTTGGCTCTTCGTGATATCGTCCAACAATTAGCACCCATAAAATTATTAATTCAGAGAAAATATGAGCTGTTGAAAAGGAGTCCGGATAATTAAGAAGGAATGATGAAATTTTCTTATGTAAGTGATTGAAATTTCTACTGCGAAAATGGTGCGCAATTGTTGTGTCAAGGGCTGCAAATCCTTGTGGCATCCCACTGCTAACCTCTCGTTCTTCCGGTAAGCACACAAAGATTTCTACAAATATCAATATTTATCGACAATCAAGTCTATGCAGTAACTAATGAATACTTGTTATTGAATCAGTATTCGCAATTTCATCGTGAATGAATTATTCCTGCACTGTAGGTTTCCTTTCAAGACGCCACAACTTATGGAAACGTGGTTGGCAGTTGTCCCTAGTAAAGGGAACATTTCGAAGACGTCAGTTGTTTGTAATAAACATTTCCAAAATTTCGATTTTAATCATGAAGGGTCTCGGAGAACTTTGAAAGATATTGCTGTGCCGAGTATTTTCCCAAGTGATGGTTCGATGAGTGTAATTATAATTCTTGTATAATTCTTTTCACTGACATTTCCAAATTTTTACGTTTTTTATAAATGAGGTATTCCATGCCAACTGAGTCAATCGCTGACCCCCATCCTCTTGGATATTGACAGCAACTTTGTTGCCATTGGGGGGCTTAAACAAAAATATCTTTCATTTTTTCAACTGCCCATACCGGAAATATGATTTCTTTCTTTTTTTTCGTTTTTCACAATAACTGGGGTACTATTTATACGATTTCAATTCAGTAAGCGTCAAAATATCCTATTTCCTCACCTTTATAAGAGTTTCCTGGATGATTTGTTTTTTTTTTCAATCCCTAGGTGTCCATAATAACGAATTTCCGAGAGAAAAAAAAGAACTTTGAACATTACGTCACGTTTTATTTATTTTTTCTACAGTTCTTATAATGGAAACAAATATTTTGAGCCGTGATACAAGTTGTATTTCATTCTGGATCTATTTTATTTTTCATTCTTTCTTGTCAACATTCCAATAAATCATGATAATCATATGTAATGACAGTAAATCATCGTCATTTTGGGAGCATTTTATCACACTCACAAAAACTCTAAAAGTAAAACTTCCAAGAGAGTGGAGTCAGTCGTCGACTCATTTGACATGGAATACCTGATATGCATTAAAAAATGAATTCAGGTTGCACGTGCATGTCCTGAAGGGGCTGCTCACCAAACAATGGATGTTGGAGCAGACTCAAGTGAACAAAATACAACGACTGTTTTGAAAACCAATGACGTCTTGCCTGACTTAACAAATGTGACACGCATTGGAGGAAATATCAAGCTGGATGATCCAGTGATTTTGGAGAACTTGGACCAAGGGCAGCACTGCCAACCAAAGTCGAAGGTAATGAGTAAATACAATTCAATTCAATTCAATTTCGTTCGTAAAATTATCTTCGGAACGAATTCGCTAAATGCTAAACTGTCGTAAGTCAATTGATTGCCATATTTTTGATAATTTTCTATTCATTCTGAAGAGGCCTTTTTTTAGATGGATTTTTTATTTTTAAAGTCTTTAGGCGTTTCATGGTAGAATGCCAGTCATAGAAAAAAAATGAATTTCCAACGAACACTACCTTTTGATATTTTCCCTTAAAATGGCTAATTACCAAGATTATTCAATATTCCAGAATATGTAGTACTATTAATACCATCGGTACGAAATTTAAACGTATAAATGCAAAATTTTTAATTTTCTTTTCCTCCCAAACAGTAATTTATTCAAATCCTCTCGAAAAAAGTTTATACCGTCAAAGACCCAGTTGTCGAATATTTCTGGGATTTCTGTGTCCTGATTCAATTGTATCATTAATTAATCAATACAAAATTGTTCGAATCATCCAGAGTCAGCAAACAAAATTCACAAAACAATTTTGTTCTTAACGGAAATGATGTTATGCCGTTTAATGTGTTTTCAAAAACTGGTCCTAAGAGGTCGAAAACTGGGTCTTCGATAGTATGACTGGGAAAATATTAATGATAGAAAGCGTAATTCATAAATGCATGTAGCGTTATGGAAGTCACCACTATACGTTTCTTTTCTTTTTTTTTCAAAGGCAAATATTACACCACCGAATTACGTCACGATGCCGAGAGAAACAGCGGATGCCATGCGTCGACAAATAATCATTCTTCAAAAAAAAAAAATCGGCTACTTGAACGAAAATACCGTAATGTCACTGAGTTAGTAAAAGACCTGAAGAGGAAAAGTAATTGTACAGAAGATTTAGAGAGAGTACTGATGCAGCGATTTTCAAATTTTAATTTGGAACTTTTTAGAAGTGAAATTAATAACAACAATGTTCCCAAAACTCTGGTACTGGAGACATTGCATGGGTGTTGTGAACCTCATGAGATGAAGATTATAAAAGCAATTGCAAGTGATTATACCAAACTACGATTGAGGAGTTATGCTAAAACTCAAACACTAGAAGTTTGAGGCTCTAAAGTGACTGTTCAACAAAAGTTGACCAAAACAATTCTGTTTTATAACGTTCGAATGTTTATGGATAGTTAGAAAGGTTATGTGATATACATGATGAAACTTTATTTGTCCTGGGAATCCAGGAGCCACGTTACAGCCACGGTATTTGCGTGGCTGTTGCGTGGCTATTAGGATTGTGATTTTCTGGGGCTAAAAAGGGCGAAATGATATCTGAAAACACAATAAAAGTGGATAGACGAATTATTAGTTTATATTTGCACTGTTTATAACATTGTTTTCTATCAATTGATTAAAATTAATGTGAGTGTATATAATGATAATACAAGTCCCGTAGGGGGAATACCGGGAGATGGCGGCAGTGTCGACATCCCAACGGGGTTGGTCAAGTCGACAGCAGTCGCAGCCAGAATAAGTGAGACCCCAACAAAGGTGGGGCGCCACGGTCGATTCTGACGGCTGGGCGAGCTGCCTGTGCCGGTAACTCGGCAGTAGGGCCAGAAGAAGAATATCCATGGATTTTTGGAGTGGGGGACAAGCATATGAGTGGGAATTACGTAGAGTGGGGGTACCTTGGGCAGGGAAAACTTCTGCTAGAAGCCCAATTGGGGACGCTTAATAACAAGCCGCCCTCTATGAATGTCTGCGTTGAGGGTGCACATGTACGATACACAGGCAAAAGGGGGCTTGTATGAGCGCGTGTGTATACCTCTTTGACGGCCATATTGGCAAAAAACAGCGCCCTCAACGATATTTCCTGTTCCCAATAGCAGTCACGCTGTCACAGGGGTAGGTTCGAAAAGGGGTTTATGTCCTCCTTGTCCTCAATGTTTCCTTTATGTTTTTTCGTTGATTCATTCGCCCGCTAATTAATATTAAGGGATGAGACAAGGA